AGTTTGAGGCTGCTGTGAGCTGTGACACTATAGCACTCTACTAAGGGCGACATAGTAAGACTCTGTCTCAATAAATAAATAAATAAATAAAATAAGCTGAGTCTTGAAAGATTAGAATCAGACAAGAGAGATGGGAGAATCTGGTCAAAGCCTCCTGAGAAGAAATGAACCTAGTACATTTTGGGGGGGGGAGGACAGAGTGTCATTTTACTGCCCAGGTTAGAATGCTATAGTGTCAGTCCAGCTCCCGGAAACTTCCAACTACCGGGTTCAAGCGATCCTCCTGCCTCAGCCTCCCAAGTAGCTGGGACTACTACAGGTGCCTACTATAACACCAAGCTATTTTTTTCTATTTTTAGTGGAGACAGGGTCTTGCTTTTGCTTAGGCTGGTTATGAACCCCTGACCTCAAGGGATCCATCGACTTCAGCCTCCCAGAGTACTAGGATTATAGGTGAGCCACTATGCCTGGCCAATACATTTGGGGGACAGTACAGTGATGGGCTTAAGAGGACCAGTAAGAGATAAAGCCAAAAAGAAAGACTGAGACCAATTTTGGAAAGCAAGACAGAATCCAGATTTTGTGTGTGTGAGAGACAGAAAGAGAGAACCAAAGTCTTTCTCTGTTGTCCAGGCTAGAGTCCAGTAGAGTCATCATAGCTCACAGCAACCTCAAATTCAAGGGCTCAAGAGACCCTCCTGATTCAGCCTCCCAAGTAGCTGGGACTACAGGCATGTACTACTATGGCCAGCTAATTTTTCTATTTTTCATAGAGATAGGGTCTCACTCTTGCTCAGCCTGCTCTCAAATTTGCTGGCCTCAGCTATCGATCCTCCTACATTGACTCCCCAAAATGTTAGGATTACAGGTATGAAGCAACGCACCCAGCCAGAATCTGGATTTTATTCTGTAGGTAATACAATGTTATGTAAGATTTCTGAGTAGGTAGAGTGGCATTTCAGAATTATACATCTGTATGTTGACCTGAAACCTGGCTCTGAAAAGACAGAAAACAGGTTCTGAAGCTGTGTTTTAGTATAGAGAAAAAAGTGTACATTATGAGTTCATAAATTCAGGAATCTAATAAGAGTAGTCTTGATTATCTGAAAAGTAGAAAAGTGGCAATGGAATCCAATTTCTTTTTCCTTTTATCCTTTTTCTTTTTTTGAGATAGAGTATAACTTTGTCACCCTCGGTAGAGTGCCATAGTATCACAGTTTACAGAAACCCCAGACTCTTAGGCTCAAGCGAATCTCTTGCTTTAGCCTCCGGAGTAGCTGGGACTACAGGTGCCTGCCACAACACCCAGCTATTATCCTTTTTCTTTTACCAGTGCAGTGTGAGTCCCGTCTGTAGCTACCACTAAGTGATTATTTCCTTTATAAAAGCTATAGATTTCATTCAGAAACAAGTTCTTAATGTTTCTACCTAATAAATTATCGTAAACTATTTTGCAGAAATTAAGTTTTGCTTAAACAATACCACTTCGAATAATAAGACTGTTTAAACTTAATACACAAACAGGGATCTCTGAAGTGCTAACTATCTAGTAATTCAGGCTCTGCTGGATACAGAGACAGTGCCCTATGAACCTCAGCTAGAACTCAGATCTGCCTCAGGTGAATATAAACATCTTATATGAGTCACCTTGCAATTACAGCTGCCATGTGGAAACATATTTAAGCAATGAGAACTACAAAGCTAAATCTCTGTAAGATCCTGCATTGGTCTTCCTGTCCCTTTCCAGTTTAAAGATCATTAAATCTCAGGTTTTTTTTTTTTTATTTTCTTGAGACAGAGTCTCACTTAGTCACCCTGGGTTGTAGAGTCAACCTCAAACTCCGGGGCTGAAGCGACTCTCTTGCCCCAGCCTCCTAAATGACTGGGAATAGAGGTACCCACCACAAGGCCCAGCTACTTTTTATGTTTATTTATTTATATATTTAGACAAAGTCTCATTCAGTTGCCCAGGGGTAGAGTACCCTGAGCATCAACAGCAATTTCAAACTCCTCTTGGGCTCAAGTGATCCTCCCTTTTTTTTTTTGGCCGGAGCAGGGTTTGAACCTGCCACCTCTGGCATATGGGGCTGGGGCCCTAACTCCTTTGAGCTACAGCCTTTTCTTTTCTTTTTTTTTTTTTTTTTTGCCCAGCTGTCCCCCTGGGTAGAGTGCCGTGGCATCACAGCTCATAGCAACCTCCAACTCCTGGGCTCAAGCAAGTCTCCTGCCTCTGCCTCCCAAGTAGCTGGGACCACAGGCGCCTGCCACACCTGGCTACTTTTTGGTTGGAGCCATCATTGTTGTTTTGGTGGGCCCAGGCTGGATTGGAACCTGCCACCTAGGGTGTATGTGGCTGGCGCCTTAGCCACTTGAGCCACAGGCTCCGAGCCATACATGGGTATTTTTTTTTTTTTTTTGAGACAGAACCTCAAGCTATCCCCTGGGTAGAGTACTATAGCATCATAGCTCACAGCAACCTCCAACTCCTGGGCTCAAGCAAGTCTCCTGCCTCTGCCTCCCAAGTAGCTGGGACCACAGGCGCCTGCCACACCTGGCTACTTTTTGGTTGGAGCCATCATTGTTGTTTTGGTGGGCCCAGGCTGGATTGGAACCTGCCACCTAGGGTGTATGTGGCTGGCGCCTTAGCCACTTGAGCCACAGGCACTGAGCCAGCCTTTTCTTTTTTGAGACAGAGTCTCACTATGTCCCCCTCGTTAGAATGCTGTGGCATCACAGCTCACAGCAACCTCAAACTCTTGGGCTTAAGTGTTTCTCTTGCCTCAGCCTCCAGTGTAGCTGGGACTACAGGTGCCCGCCACAACACCCGGCTACAGAGGCGAGGTCTCACCAATTTGCAAGCTCAGGCGATGCATCTGCATCAGCCTCCCAGAATGCGAGGGTTCCAAGCCTGAGCCACCTCGCCTGGCCTCGAATTTTTTTTTTTTTTTTTTTTTTTTTTAGAGACAGAGTCTCACTTTATGTGCCGTGGCATCCCAGCTCACAGCAACCTCCAGCTCTTGGGCTTAGGCGATTCTCTTGCCTCAGCCTCCCGAGTAGCTGGGATGACAGGCACCCGCCACAACACCCGGCTAGTTTTTGTCGCGGTTGTCATTGTTTAGCTGGCCCAGGCCGGGGAACCCGCCAGCCTCCGTGCATGTATGTGGCTGGCGCTGTAACCACTGTGCTATACGCAGAGCCTCTTAACTAATTTTTCATCAGCATTATTTTTTGTTTCCAAATTTCAAAAAGACTGTCTCCGAAGGCCTCAAAATTACTTTGATTTATTAATGTTGTACATTTCAGACATGTATTAGCTGAGTCTATTTTTTTTCCACAGAGAAACCACTTCAGAAAAAGGGTGTTTTAATTTCTGAGAAAATGTATAGATCAAGTATGTATGCTACCAACCACACACACGTAAATACGTGTTTGGGAGTAATGGAGACCATTCCCCAGTGATTAAGATTGAGCTCCGTTTTTTTGTCCCAGCACTTTTACATCTACATAAATTGGTAAGTCACAATGACATGCAAGCCTCACATGTGAAGTAAAAACTTCAAGCGACGGCGGCGCCTGTGGCTCAGGTGGCTAAGGCGCCAGCCACATACACCTGAGCTGGCAGGTTCGAATCCAGCCCAGGCTGCCAAACAACAATCGCGGCTGCAACCAAAAACAGCCGGGCGTTGTGGCGGGCGTCTGTGGTCCCAGCTACTTGGGAGCCTGAGGCAGGAGACTCGCTTGAGCCCAGGAGTTGGAGGTTGCTGTGAGCTGTGATGCCACAACACTCTACCCAAAGCGACAGCTTGAGGCTCTAAAAATATAAAAAACCTCAAGCGAGGATCTGAACAGGACCCTCCCGAAGACGCACATCCGGGGGGCAACTCTATATTACTGCTCTCAAAACTGAGCAGTGACTCAAGACGGCTGGAAAAGAGAAGGAGATGCTGAGCAAGTGCCAAAGAGACTGAAGCCCCCAGCCCAGTCCCTCCCCGCCTCCTGCACACCCCTGCGCTCTGCGGCTCGGGCTCCCGGCCCCGACGCCCGGATAGACTATTCACCTTGGCGGGGCGGAGCATGGAGTCTCACCTGCTCATCATCTCAAACCTTCCGGGCTGGCCCCGGGTACGGCCAGCGTGCGTGGCACTTCGCTGTAGAAATTCAAGTTTTTCCACCCTAAAACGAGGGGTTTGTTAGTGCTGGTTTCTGTCCTGGTTACCGTTCCGGGTCGACAGGGGCCTACCACAACTCTGTGCCTGGAAGTTCTTGCTAGAAAGCCTCGCCACCTGCTAGACCTCCACCTTCAGCCCGTGACAGAGAATCCACAGACCTCCGCACACCTTACATTTCTAGGTCACACTGGGTATCCACGCGCGCTCACGCAGACTCTGCCATCCTGCGCACGCCCGGCCTCACAGGGCGGCTACGAACTTACTGCTCGCCGAGCAAGCCCCACCAGGGCGCACAGGGAGCGGCCTGCGCGGAGCCGAGGCCGGGTCGGAGTCCGGGCCGGGGTCGCGTCGGACCCAGCCGGCCGGCGGGCTCCTGCCCCTAAACCCCGGGCCTGCCCCCGGCGCACGTGCTGGGTGACAGGCCCCCTATAGGTTCCATACCTGCCACCGGAAGTGAGTGAGGAGGGCAGTATAGGCATTTCCTGTGACGCGAGCGCCTGGACTCCATTAGGCAGCAGCTGGGGGAAGAATCAACACACCAGGGAGCAGAGCGGAGCGGACCCGAGGACAGAGGCGGCAGCTGCCTCCGCTGCCGCCCGTCGCTGCCGCCGCCACCGCCGGGGCTCAGCCCAGCGGCGGGCCCCGTGCCCCCGTAGCCGTCCCGCGGCGCCCCGCGGCGCGACCCCCAGGCCGCGCACCCCGAGCTGCCTCCGGGAGGGGGGGGGGAAAGGGCCCGGATCCTCCTTCTCCCCCTCCTCCTCCTCTCCCTCCTCTCACCCCCACCCTTCTACCCTGACCCCCCCTCCCCGCCTCCTCAGTCCCCCCTCACCCCGACCCTCTCCCCGGCCCCCGTCTCCCCTCCCCCGCCTCGCCCCACCGGCTTCCCACCACGGCCTCTCTCGGCGAGGAAACTCTGGCCTCCGCTTCCTCCTCCTCCGACTCGGACACCGGCGGAGCCTCCCCGCCCCCGCGGAAGAAACCCCGAGCCTCGGCGGCGGAGGGAGCAGGAGAGCCCGGGGCTTCGGCAGGCAGAGCAGGCCTCTCTCCTCCGTCCTCGTCCTCCTCGTCCTCGTCCTCCTCCTCCTCCTCCGTGGTGGTAGTGGTGGGACTCCCCCCGGCTGCTACCCCTTCTGCCGCCGCTGCCGTCCCCCACCGAAGTAGCGGCCACAGCCTGGTCAGCGGCAGCATCATGCAGGCCAACGGGGCAGGAGGAGGAGGAGGAGGTGGTGGCGGCGGCGGTGGAGGAGGAGGGGGCGGCGGGGGCCAGGGACAGACCCAGGAACTCGCTTGTCTGTCGGCCCAGAACGGGGAGTCGTCCCCTTCGTCGTCGTCGTCCGCGGGGGACCTGGCCCACGCCAATGGGCTCCTGCCTTCCGCCCCCTCTGCCGCCAGCAACAATAGCAACAGCCTGAATGTCAATAACGGGGTTCCCGGCGGGGCGGCCGCCGCAGCCTCAGCCACAGTCGCAGCTGCCTCCGCCACCACCGCCGCCGCCTCCTCTTCCTTGGCCACCCCAGAACTGGGCAGCAGCCTCAAGAAGAAGAAGCGGCTCTCCCAGTCAGACGAGGATGTCATTAGGCTAATAGGACAGCACTTGAATGGCTTAGGGCTCAAGTAAGTATCCTTTCCCGGCAGCTGGTGCTGGACAGACTACCGGGGCGGGGGTAGGGATGCAGTGGCTGGAAGGAGCTCGGTCAAAGAGAGAATTACTACTGGGCACGCTGGGCCCAGTCTACTGGAGGACGGGGCGCAGACAGGCCAACAGGGAGGAGGAGCGGGCCTGAAGCGAAATAAGGGAAAATCAATCAGTCTGACAAATTGTGAGCCAAGACAGGCGATTGAGGTTTGGAGTGGGATAGGAGACTCCTCCCTATACACCTTCAGAGCTTAATTGTCTGTCAATAAAGACAGATGCGGGAGCGTGTCTCCGTATGTGTTGGGGGAGGGGGTGGATTAGAGCTGGTGGAAATAATGAACCTTGGAGGATTTGTTTTTCAAGTGTATCTTAGAGGCATCTTTGTGGGACACCTCCCCACCCCCAACCATGACAGGCAACAGCCCAGGCAAACTACCAATCAGAAAAGACAGTCACCTACAAGTGTTTATGAGAACTGAAGGGGTGGGATAAGAAGGGGTGGGATAATTTGCAAAGAGGCTGTTGAATAAATCTAATGGTATTGGAAGTAAGGTGCACCGTTGATGTCATTTAGAGGCCCTTGTGTGTGTGCAAGAGGCCTAGCATTAAGTAGTCTGACATCCCAGTTTTATACCAAAAACGTGTTCTGTCTGAAAAAGGGATATATGATACGGTGAATCATTTGTTACCAAATACAATTTAGGTGGCCTTGTGTACCTAACATAGGGTGAAGGTAGACAGGGACCTTGGCAAAAACCAAACAAACAAACATGGTTTTGTATACACAAAGAAAAACCAAGGGGGGTGGAAGGTAGGGTTGGTGGGAGTGCCCTGGAGCCGGATGAAGGAGGTGCAAAAGGCAGAACCAGAATGAGATGAAGGGAAAGAAATTTCCTAGCTTCAAAGCGTAGATTAAAATAAGCTTTTGAGCTAGCCAGTGTGTAGTTTGGGATTTATGGATTTGTTGAGAAGGGATGGCAATTTTTAAAAGTGACATAAGTATTTTAGTTTTCAGGCATTGCACCATTTAGTTGAAAATTCAGTAGAGCTGAATGAGAAAGCATTGAAACAAACACAAAAATACAGGACTGATAAATGAAGGTCTATAGATACACATATATGAGGGAAGAAAACACATTGATGAATTTTTTAAGCTCTCACAGAGAAATGCTGAAGGAAGATTTCACTTTATTCCCTAAGGAAAAGGATTAGTATCAAAACAGATTTTGTAAATGCTAACAGAACATATTACTGAGACAAGAAGCAAGCTGACAGCAGCAGGAGGAAATAACTCGTGACTGTTTGGAACCCACACCATAGTAAATTTGCTATTTTTAGTATAGAGAGAAAGGGAATGATTTTTTATGTTGGATTTATTTTAATTTTAAAGGTTGATCTAGTAGAATTTCTATGCTCATATAATCAGGATATAAGCCCGTACCTAACACAGATCATCTCTTTCACCTTGTGTGGAGCTAATAATTTTTGTCTTTCAAAATGTAACATTGGTAGTATGTAGATCCTGTTTTTCCATTTATTTTACTAGTTATGACACATTTTTAGAAATTTTATACTTCATTGAACTGAGGCATTAAAATGGCAGAAGTAGAACTGATTATGATCTAGTTTCAAGAAATGTTTTTAACTTGACAAGGAATAAATGTAGGTGATAGTTTTAAATCAAGTTAGTTTAATCAAACACATTAAAGCTTTTTATTTTTCTTCACCATGAGATTAGCTTAAAAATTTTGCAACTGTTTTCATGGACATTAGTTTATTTGGAAGAGTAAAACCCTAAAGTTGGTCAGGTCTTTTTTACACTGTATCTCTCCTGCAGCCAGACTGTTGATCTCCTCATGCAAGAGTCAGGATGTCGTTTAGAACATCCTTCTGCTACCAAATTCCGAAATCATGTCATGGAAGGAGACTGGGATAAGGTAAAGTAGGGCATATAGAGCTGTGTGACTGCTGCTAAAATTACATATTTGATGTGCATTTTGTGACATTTCTGTTTTTCTTTTATACTGATTTTTACAGGCAGAAAATGACCTGAATGAACTAAAGCCTTTAGTGCATTCTCCTCATGCTATTGTGGTAAGAGGCGCACTTGAAATCTCTCAAACGTTGTTGGGAATAATTGTGGTAAATACACTTTTGTTCTTAGTTTCACATTTATGCTTATTTTAGTAGGTTATTGATAACTCTAGGTTTCTGCCTCTTATACAAGATAAGGCCTAAAAGTAGATTTCATATAATTAAGTTTATAAACTGAGTGTTTATAATGTTTTAAAGTATGAGTCTTATATTTTTAAAATCGTATTTAGTAGATGTATTGTTTGAATCTACTTTACAAATTAGGGTCTCCAAAAGTTATCTTGAAAGATTTTTATGTTTTCAATGCTATTAATAGGAGTTTTATCCTATAAATTATCGTTTATGTTACTTACAGTACTGAATATGCTATTTAAAAAGAAAATGTGTTTGGGTGTGTGTATATTCATTCAGCTTTAAGAAGCTGATACATTAATTTTCTTTTTATCTTTGAGAATTATAGGTAATTCAAATCACTTCCATTGGTGTGCTCACCATTTTCCATTCTTGCATTCCAGTTGTGTGCATTGACAGTGTCTAAATTTGTATAATCTATCACTCTGATGGAGGGCTTATGTGCCGATTTGACCACTAGGCCCTTTTTACTGGCCTTATTTCCCTGACAAGATCACTTTAGTAGTTTAACCTGTTAGCCTTTTTCATAAGTCTTAATGAATCTTTTATACTGATGGTCTTGAATTCTTCAGGAGATGTGGGTGAGGGCGAGGAGGGGATAAGTTTTTTTTAAGTGCTGGTGATTAAAAGCCCTGAAGAATCAGCTGCTAACTACTGGCTTTTTAACTTCTAGCTGATTCATTTGTTGTCAAAAGCAGTTTCCTGTCTGGTGGGGGAGGGAAAGTAGGTGAATAGGAAGTGAAGTAGGGAAACCAGCTATTTGTTAAATATTAGTAAATGACTTACATTTTGGGCTTTTTAAATTGGGTCAAACATTAATCTTTTCTGTCTCTGTCTATAAACTTATGAGCCTTGTGGAGTTTTTTTCTTTTTCTCTTTGAAATCTTAGAAAAGGGGTTTTGAACTCTTAATACAGTAGTACAATCCTAGAGAGTGAGCTTTAGGTGAATTAAAGGTGCAAACAAGTATGAGCAAACAGACACATGTAAACTGATGATCTAGTATTATCTTTAGTCTTTCAGTAAATACTTAAAATATTAAAAATTTAAAACTACTGTGGGTGAGATTGATAATTTATAGAACAATTGATTCAGTTTTAAAATTTAAAAATAAAAAGTTAAAATAGTTAAACATGTATATTCAGACAGGTTAGAAGTTTTTCAGTAACTAAAAGTTTCTCCAGTCAGTGTTCAATGTTTATTTTATTTACCTAAGTATGATTGCATGTGAAAATCCCACACTGTACCCCAGAAGTGCATTAATGTACATAGTTACCATTCAATAAAAAAAGAAAAAAAGGTAAAATATTTACCTAAGTATATTTTACTGAGCAGTTTCTCATAAATTTTTAGCTTTGACTGAATGGGGTAAAATAAGGACCAATAAATGGCCTTAAATAAAAGTTTGGGTTCCTTTCCCATTCTAACAAATAAGTTAGAACAGCTTGTAAGGTGACAATAAGAAACTTGCCTGTGTGCTATTTTATAATGTGTGTGATTTCTTGGAGATTGGTTTTTTTTGTTTTTTGTTTTTTTTTAAGACAGAGCCTCAAGCTGTCCCCCTGGGTAGAGTGCTATGGCCTCACAGCTCACAGCAACCTCCAACTCCTGGGCTCAAGCGAGTCTCCTGCCTCAGCCTCCCAAGTAGCTGGGACCACAGGTGCCCGCCACAGCGCCGGGCTTTTTTTTGGTTGCAGCCGTCATTGTTGTTTGGTGGGCCTGGGCTAGGGATTCGAACTCGCCACCTTAGGTGTATATGGCTGGCGCCTTAGCCGATTGAGCCACAGGCGCCAAGCCGAGATTGTTTTCCTTTTTCAGGCTTCACCCACATTATATCTGTAATTTAGTAAAAATTTTAATAGGCTCACTTCCTGGTTTTTTTTTAGTTGTTTGTAGTAATTTGAGACTTCTGTATTGGATTTAGATTATGCCTGTCTCATTAGAAACCTTCATTAGATGCAACATGTAAACTAAAGAAAGGTAGTTGTAGATAATAAGGAGGAATCCTTTTTTTTTTACAGCCTGTTCAGTCTGTAGAACATTCTAGGATCTAATAAAAGATGAAGATTAAATCTCTGGCTGAGCCTCACATCATTAAACTGTTTAGGTATTTATGCAAAGAAAAGGGTTCCAACTTTTATCTCCCTTGAAGCATTAATGAATCAATTAGTTTTAAAGAGTCAGTTCAGCATTTTTTGAAGTTGTTCTTCACCTTTCTAATTGTGTTTAAATTCACTCCTCTCCCCATAACCACTTCCAGAAAAGAATCTAATACAAGCTTAAGTTTGTAATAATATATTAGACAACTGGTAAGTTTTTTTTAATCATAATTATTTTAGTTGTATACTCAGACATATTTTATAACTTAGTCTAGACTAAAATTGTACTCTATTTTTTAAACCTGAATGTTTTTATCAACCCAGTCTACTTCCCCCACATCCTATCCCCCCCCTTTTTTTTTTGAGACAGAGCCTCAAGCTGTCACCCTGGGTAGAGTGCTGTGGCATCACAGCTCACAGCAAACTCCAACTCCTGGACTCAAGCGAGTCTCCTGCCTCAGCCTCTCAAGTAGCTGGGACCACAGGCACCCACCACAATGCCCAACTATTTTTTGGTTACAGCCATCATTGTTTGGTGGGCCCAGGCTAGATTCGAACCCGCCACCTTAGGTGTACATGTGGCTGGCGCCTCAGCCACTTGAGCCACAGGTGCCGAGCCCCATCCCCCATTTTTAAATGGTTTCCAGTCAAATGATACTAGGAATAGCAAAAGTTGCTTTCATGAATCAGCATTTTTTTGTTTTAGTACATATGCTTAGCCATGTCTGTGTAAGATCTTGGTGGGTATTTGAGACTGACAACAGAAAACTTCTGTATGTCTAAAAATGTTTAATTCTTTTTTCTTTTTTTTTAATGTAATGGGAATCTGCTTAACAGAACTGTTCAAATACTGACATACAAAAATTAACTGATATATTTTAAAATCAAATAAGGGGTTTTGAGAGCCATGGTTTAATATAATTCATTTCCTCTTTCCTCTGAGTCATGATTTAATTGACTTTATAGCTTTACTCCAAAGTTAAGTCAGAACCTACTACTAAGTTAGCTAGGAGGCTACCCCTGGTGACCAGACATTCTGTGGATCATAACTTCTAAGTTTTTCTTTCATATTGAGTTCAGTTGAACAACATGAAAGGAAAGGATAAAGCAGTCCAATAGTGGGTGGGGTAAGGAGGCAACAGCAGGATTTACTGTATGAAACTATCATTTGAGCTGTCCCCAGTTTTGTCAATTTCAAGTTATTGGATATTAAAATAGAGGAGGAAATACTGTAGGTCTCAGAGATGTTGAAAAATCATCAGAGACCAAAAAATCTCTTACAGGTCTAATTAAGAGTTGGAAGAAGATATAAAACAGATTCATTTCCTCAACCTTTTTTTCTTTATTTTTAACAAGCATATAATAAACATATAATAAACGTATAATAAACATAAGTAGAGTTCTGTCCCCATCTTACCAAGCTTTAATTTTGCCTGATTTTTTTTTTTTTTATTTTTGAGACAGAGTCATTTTGTTGCCCTCAGTAGAGTGCTGTAGCATCATATCTCACAGCAACCTCAAACTCTTGGGCTCAAGTAATTCTCTTGCCTCAGTCTCCTGAGTATCTGTGACTATAGGTGCCCCCCACAATGCCCGACTATTTTTAAAAACGGAGTCTAGCTCTGGCTCAGGCTGGTCTTGAACTTGTGAGCTCAAGCAGTCCACCTGCCTCAGCCTCCCAGAGTGCTAGGATTAAAGGTGTGAGCCCCCACACCCTGCTGAAGTGACTTTAAGAGAATAACCATTTCTTTCTCAGTGAAATCTCTAGCTGTGCTTGGCCAAAAGCTTGTTAGTTGCCATGCACAGTACCAGGATTTGATACTTGTTTGAGGATATTTGTAGTCTTAATCTGGATAAAATGATTCATAGAGAAATGCTCTTATGCTGCTTTTATCTAATTCCCTACATATAAAGAAAGAAATATGTGTTTATATTGGCATCTCTCGAAGTTTTGGTCTGCCTTATTCTTCTCTCCTACCTCACCTCTGCCCCATAGAGAGTAAAATGTTCTGTCAAGATCTTGGTGGGAAAATAAGGGGGAAATAGCACTTGGGGCACTGTCCCTACACACACTGGAATGGAGGAGAGAGTGGGCTTAGGATGTAATGATTGATACAAATAAGTAAATATTTAAGTCAGAATCCACTACTAAGATGTGGGTTCTGAATTAGGAAAAAACATGCCCTAAACTTCCAGTTGCTAAGAAAATTTAGCAAGGAAATTAAATGCTCTGGGTAGTTCCATGTGGCATTTAAATGAAAAAAATCTTGCATCTATATATGATCTCAAGTTTGAATCAAAAGTACAACAGATGAAATGAAACTTGTGTGTATTAATAAATGGAAATATGAGTTTTCATTTCGTAAAGAGTTAAATTTTTTTTAGAAGATAAAATGGTGAGAATATCCAAAGTAACTTTAAATATAAAATCCATTGATTTTTAGATTTTCATTTTATTTAGTTTTTAGGTTTTGTCACTTGGTGAGCGTCAAAGTATTTTTACTTAACATATATAAAGGTTAACTTCTGGCTGCATATATAGCAGTATACTTTGGGGGGGGCATCTTGGTAGTTTGTTTTTGGAACACTTAAGTCATTCTAACTTTATGTGTAAAATAGGTAAGTGTAATTTTCCTAGATTTACAGGAGTTTATCTCAGTTTGAATTTTTTTCTGTTCTTTAGCTATAGATTTAAGATTAGAATTATTATCAAACATAAGCAATGCATCTCATAAAGGATGTATTTAAATATATACGTAATTTACACGAGAGGGTTAATTTTTGTTTACTAACCCCAGAAACCATTTTTATAAGCTTATAGTTTATGCTCCTATTCAAAATACTTGATGGAAAATCTTAAAGAGCAGTTCATTTTACTTTTAATTCTGCAAATAAATGGTAATTTCTCCATACCATTTTTGTGACACCTGCATATTTTTTTATAGTCTGAAATACAATGACCTTATTGAAGAAGAAAAGATCATGATTTAGATTTTTACTTTTTTTTTTTTTAAGAAACAGAGTCTCACTTTATCACCCTCAGTAGAGTGCTGTGGTGTCCCACCTCACAGCAACCTCCAGCTCTTGGGCTTAGGCAATTCTCTTGCCACAGCCTCCCAAGTAGCTAGGACTACAGGCGCCTGGCACAATGCTCGGCTATTTTTTGTTGCAGTTTGGCCTGGGCAGGGTTCAAATCTGCCACCCTCAGTATGTGGGGCCGGCGCCCTATCCCCTAAGCCACAGGCGCCACCCTAGATTTTTACTTTAAGTGGACTTGAGCTCTTTAACTACAATACCCCTTGGAGTCTCTGAATATGGTTAACATTTCTTACCTATTAAGTTTTTTCCATACATCAGTTGGCTTGCTGAAGCTCCACAAACAGCAAATATGGTGAAAAGATCCTCTAAGGTCCTTAATTAGGTTTAAGTGAACTCCAGACATTCCTTAAGCTTCTCTTTTCTGTAGTAAAAAATCTACTAATATAACTTTTAAGTTAAGAATAAAATAGTAAAGTAACATTAAAAAGTATTAAAATCAAACACTTTCTTTTTTTCTTGAGAGTCTCACTATGTCGCTCTCAGTAGAGGGCTGTGGCATCACAGCTTACAGCAACTTCAAACTCTTGGGCTTTAGTGATGCTCTTGCATCACCCTCCCAAGCAGCTGGAGCTAAAGGCACTCACTACAGTCCCCGGCTATTTTTTGTTGTTGTTATAGTTGTCATTGTCGTTTGGCAGGCCCAGGCCAGGTTCAAACCTGCCAGCATGGGTGTATGTGGCCGGTGCCCTAGCTGTTGAGCTACAGGTGCCAGACCAAAATCAAACACATTTTAGAAAAACTAAATGTGAAAATTATTCACAATAAGCTAGAAAGTAGTTTATTCTTTGGGGAAAAAGAGCTAATAACAATTGTCTATATTTTATAATGAAATACAGCAGTGATCAGATTATTATAAATTCACAAATACAAATATTGAAACTTTTTAAAAGACTCAAAAGGTTAGCCTGCTAACATAGGCATCCCTTTATATCTTTATAGAAGAGAGTGAGTCCATCACACTTACACTTGTCCACTTTAATCATAGGAAACTTTATTTCTTTTTTTTTTGAGACAGAACCTCAAGCTATCCCCCTGGGTAGAGTGCTGTGGCATCACAGCTCACAACAACCTCCAACTCCTGGGCTCAAGCCAGTCTCCTGCCTCAGCCTCCCAAGTAGCTAAGACCACAGGCACCCGCCACAACGCCTGGCGTTGCAGCCATCATTGTTTTTGGCAGGCCCGGGCTGGATTCAAACTCACCACCTTAGGTGTATGTGGCTGGCGCCTTAGCCACTTGAGCCACAGGTGCCGAGCTGGAAACTTAATATTTCACACACCAACCTGTAATCTATTTGTTGGACAGCTCTTCTTAGTCTTGATAAGCCAAAAAAACCTGGCACTTTTTTGCTGCTACTCAGTAGCTCTAGTTCTTTTTTTTTTTTTTTTATTAAATCATAGCAGTGTACATTGAGTAGCTCTAGTTCTACTAAACAAGTCCTCTTTTAACTGGTTTTTCTCTAATCTTTTCCAAACTCGTTGCATAACCTCTCTCCGCCATTCTATAGTAAAAAGTAAATTTACAATAGTTGGAATAGTTCTAAATTTTTTTCATACAAGAAATTAAACTTCTAGGGAAATGTCTTGAGAAAAGAATTCATTTTTTCCCATGTTGATGCCTTAGTCACTGATGATCTTGTCTGATGTAAGTTTATTCAAAGCAGAGTTTAAATAAGATATGGAACTGAGCAAAGTCTCGTGTAATCTACTATAGCTCTATAGAGCCAAAATATTTTGCATCATCTTGAAGCTTTGTAAAAAGTTATTTTCAAAGGGCATAGTAGAATGGTTTCTACTGTTCTGTTTAGGCACAAACATTTTCTGAAACTTCCATCAACCTTTTTCCCCTGACTGCTGCTTTCTGTCATGTCAGAGGATGAAGTTTTTGCTGCTGCAGCAGAAGTACCTAGAATACCTGGAGGATGGCAAGGTCCTGGAGGCACTTCAAGTTCTTCGCTGTGAATTGACGCCGCTGAAATACAATACAGAGCGCATTCATGTCCTTAGTGGGTAAGGAAGCTGAATTCTTAGACTCAGGTTGATGAAGGGGCTGTTATTTTTACAAGGGTAACACTGGCCAGAATTACATTCCTTTACCGTTTTCTAAGATACAAATACTTAATTATTGCTAAGTTCTTAGCAGTAATATTTGGTAAATTCATTTATATGTGTACAGTTTTTGCCATCTTAGGAAGCTATCCCTATTAAGATAGAGATATAAGAGGATGAAAGGAAGGAGAAATATACATTGCCTGTGAAATGCTATTTCAGATTCTTTTTTTTTTTTTCAGACAGAGTCTCACTATTTCACTTTTGGTAGAGTGCAGTGACATCGCAGCTCACAGCAACCTCAAACTCTTGGGCTTAAGCAATTCTCTTGCCTGAGCCTCCCAAGTAGCTAGGACTATAGGTCCCCGCTACAACACCCGGGTGTTTTTTGGTTGCAGTTTTCATTGCTATTTTGCTGGCCTGGCCTGGGTTTGAACCTGCTAGTCTTGTCCTCATTTTTTTTAAGATAGAGTCTCAAGCTGTTGCCCTAGGCAGAGTGCTGTAGTGTCTCAGCTCACAGCAACCCCCAACTCTTGGGCTTAAGTGATTTTCTTGCTTCAGCCTCCCAAGTAGGTGAGACTACAGGCGCCCACCACAGTGCCCGGCTAATTTTTGTTGTTGAGTTGTCATTGTTGTTTTAACTGGCCCGAAGCCAGGTTCAAACCCACCAGCCTTGCTGTATGTATGTGGCCAGTGTTCTACCCACTGAACTACAGGCACCACCATGCTATTTCAGATTCTTTTTTTTTTTTTTTTTTTTGGAGACAATCTCACTATGTTGCCCTCAGTAGAGTGCTGTGGCATCACAGCTCACAGCACTCTCAACTTTTGAGCTTAAGTTTTTGAGCTTAAGTGATTCTCTTGCCTCAGCCTCCAAAGTAGCTGGGACTACAGGTGACTGCCACAATACACAACTATTTTTTATTGCAATTGTCATTGTTTTTTAGCTGTCCCAGGCTGGGTTTTCTGCCACCCTCAGTATATGTGGCTGCTGCCTTAACCACTGTGCTACAGGCGCCATGCCAATTTGAGATTCTTTATAAGAACCTATAACATTGGACAGCGCCTGTGGCTCAGTGAGTAGGGCACTGGCCCCATATACCAAGGGTGGCGGGTTCATACCTGGCCCTGATCAAACTGCAACAAAAAAATAGCCAGTCATTATGGTGGGCGCCTATAGTCCCAACTACTCAGGAGGCTGAGGCAAGAGAATCACCTAAGCCCAAGAGCTGGAGGTTGCTGTGAGTGAGTGACAAAGTGAGACTCTTTCTCAAAAAAAAAAAAAAGAACCCTATGACATAGATCACAGTAAGTAATGAGGATTCCAGTATTTGTGCATACAAGCATTCATTTTAAGTGAATACTTATCATATACCAGGTCCTTGTTAAGCATTTCATTTATACTGTGTTATTTTTATCTTCACCTCAATACTTAAAATGTTAAGAGTACTCAAAGGCTTGATCCTGGGCCAGGCATGGTGGCTCATGCTTGTAATCCTAGCATTCTGGGAGGCAGAGGCAGACAGATCACTTGAGCTCAGGAGGAGGAGACCAGCCTGAGCAAGAGCAAGACCCTGTCTCTATAAAAATCTAAAAAAAAGGCTCGGCGCCTATAGCTCAACCGGCTAGGGCGCCAGCCACGTACACCTAAGGTGGCGGGTTCGAATCCCCAGCCCGGACCCGCCAAACAACAATAATGGCTACAACCAAAAAATAGCCGGGCGTTGTGGCGGGCGCCTGTGGTCCCAGCTACTTGGGAGGCGGAGGCAGGAGACTCGCTTGAGCCCAGGAGTTGGAGGTTGCTGTGAGCTGTAATGCCACGGCACTCTACCCAGGGGGACAGCTTGAGGCTCTGTCTAAAAAAAAAAAAAAATCTAAAAAAAAAAATTTAAAAATTATAAAATAACTTGGTCCTGGGCCTTCCTTCCATTCTTTATAGGTAGCCTCATTTCTCTCTCTACCATGCTTCACATACTATCTGTATGCTAAGGGCTCTTAAATTTACGCTCTCATCTGAACGTTAATGTGCTCATCTACTAGTATACTTGACAGTCTATACTTGGATGTTTAATGTTTCAAAGCTGTGTATTCAAAATAAAAAAAAATTTTTTTTGAAACATAGTCTTGCTTTGTTGCCCCCAGTATAGTGTTGTGGCATCAGAGCTCACAGCAACCTCAAACTCCTGTGCTCAAGCGATTCTCTTGCCTCAGCCTCCCAAATAGCTGGGACAATAGGCACCTGCCACAATACCCAGTTTTTTGTTTTTTGTTTTTTTTAGCAACAGGGTCTCACTCTTGCTTGGGCTAGTATCCAACCCATGAGGTCAGGCAATCTACCCACCATGGCCTCTCAGAGTGCTAGGATTAGAGGTGTGGGCCACCACACCCAGCCTTCAGAATAAAAATTTTCAATCACTGGAGCCCAAGAGTTTGAGGCTGCTATAAGCTGTGATGCCATGACACTCTACCAAGGGCCACAAAGTGCAATAGATAAATAGATAGATAAATAAATAAAAATTTTTGTTGGGGGGGGAGTTGGGCAGAATCTTGCTCTGTCACCCTGAGTACAGTGGCATCATTATAGCTCACTGCAACCTCAAACTCCTGGGCTTCAGCAGTCTTGTCTCTGCCTCCCAAGTACCTGGGACTACAGGTATATACTACTGTGCCAGGTTTCATTTTTCTATTTTTTGTAGTTAAGGGGTCTCAGGCTGGTCTCAAACTACTGTAGTCAAGCAGTCTTCCCTCCTTCTTTCAGAATGCTAGGATTACAGACGTGAGGCATTGTGCATCCCCAAAATAAAATTCTTTTTTTATGACACAGTCTCACTATGTAGCTTTTGGGAGAGTGCCATGGCATCACAGCTCACAGCAACCTCCAACTCTTGGGCTTAAGCGATTCTCTTGCCTCAGCCTCCCAAGAAGCTGGAACTACAGGCTCCTGCCACAACACCTGGCCATTTTTTTGTTGCAGTTGTCATTGTTGATTTTAGCTGGACCGGGCTAGGTTCAAACCTGCCAGCCTCGATGTATGTGGCCAATGCCCTAACCCACGGAGCTACGGGCACCACCAGAATAAAATTCTTGAATCTGGTTGTACTTCTCCCCATTCCACACCCACAGACTAGTAAATGGCAAAGCCTTCTACTTAGTTGCCCAACAGAAAAACTGACAAGATTACCTACTAGTGGCCGGCACAGTGGCTCACTCCTTTAATCCTAGCATTCCAAGAGGCCTCGGTAGGTGGATTGCCTGAGCTCACAGGTTGGAGACCAGCCCAAGCCAGATCGAGACCTTGTTTCTAAAAATAGCTGGGTGTTGTGGTGGGCACCTGTAGTCCCAGTTACTTATGAGGCTGAGGCAAGAGAATCACTTAAGCCCAAGAGTTGGAGGTTGCTGTGAGCTATGAGACCATGGCACTCTACCCAGGGCAACAAAGTGGGATTCTGTCTCAAAAAAAGAAATTACCTACTAGACATTCTCTATCACATCACTGCGTTTTTTTTTCCTTATAACGCTTTTTCACTACATGATACAGCCCCATCATCTAAAACATAAATATATATGAAAGAATGGACCAAAAGAGATATAGAGTTCATTTTGCAATTAAGGAAACTGAGCCTCAAAGAAGTTAAGTAACCCAAGATAGGTCTAATAAATCAGAAAGCAAAGATTCAAACCCTGGTTTGACTGATTCCAAAGTATAGGTCTTTACCCACCACCACATCTTGAAATAGTGAACTCTGCTAGGTATCTCAATAAAGTGGCTGACAAATTATCTTATTCTGATGCCCTTTTAATAAAGCATTTGAGTTTTTTATCATGTAAATATTTATATGACCTTTTACTTGCAAAACACGTAATTTAATCATCATCTTTATTCTGAAAGGAATTTCAGCATTAAGTTTACCCCTGAATTTTTCACAAGGAAATGGCCGAAATGTGCCCATATGGGGAGCTAGGGTCAGAATGCAGGGTTTCTTCCTCTCACCTCAGTCCAGTGTCCTTTTAGTTATACTATGTTACTTTACATGAACAGATGTTCATTTTAAACCTTAAGATTTGCTGGGCATGGTGGCTCATGCCTGTGTAATCCTAGCACTTGGGAGGCCAAGGCAGGAGAATCCTTTGAACCCAGGTGTTTACGCTTAGCCTGGGTGACATAGCAAGGCCTCACTGCTGCAAACCTTATTATTTTATTTTTTTGTTTTTGCAGTTTTTGGCTGGGGCTAGGTTTGAACCCACCACCTCTGGCATATGGAGCCAGCACCCTACTCCTTTGAGCCACAGGCACCACTTTTTTTTTTTTTTTTTTTTTAATTAGTCAGACATGGTGGTGCATGCCTATAGTCCTAGCTCCTTAAGAGACTGAGCAGGGCTCAGCGCCTGTGGCTCAATCGGCTAAGGCACCAGCCACATACACATAAGGTGGCGGGTTCAAATCCAGCCCGGGCCCGCCTAACAACGATGATGGCTGCCAGGCGTTGTGGCAGGCGCCTGTAGTCCCAGCTACTTGGGAGGCAGAGGCGGGAGGCAGAGGCAGGAGACTCGTTTGAGCTCAGGAGTTGGAGGTTGCTGTGAGCTGTGTTGCCATGGTACTCTACCTAGGGTGACAGCTTGAGGCTCTGTCTCCAAAAAAAAAAAAGCAGGAGGATTGCTTGAGCTTGGGAGTTTGAGGCTAGGCAACCAGAGGAAGACCCTGTCTGAAGAAGAAGAAGAGAAAAATAAAAGAATGTTTGTATAGAAGAAATGAGGAAGTCACTAGTGCAAAATTTAAAAGGTGTTAAAAAGTGAACAAAATTTTTTCATGTAATCATTGATGATAAATTTAACTCCCCAAAAGATACTAGAAACAAAATTTTCACATTATCCAACTTCCTGTAGGGTGTTTTGAGTGTAGTTATTTACACTATTTTCTTTTTCTAGTGATTTTTTTTTAATCAGTTAAGGTACTATTTATATACTAAATAGCAAAAGAACAAATAATTCTGCGGTTGGGTAGAAGGCTATTTAATCATTTAGACTCTAAATGAAATAAGCTTTATGCAGTTAAGAAGGGAGTGATAAAGGTAGTAGACCAAGTACTTCATGTCCTTTTTTTTTTTTTTGAGACAAGAGTCTTATTTTGTCGCCCTTGGTAGAGTGCTGTGGCATCATAGTTCACAAACCTCAAACTCCTGGGCTCAAGCAATTCTCTTCCCTCAGCCTCCCAAGTAGCTGGGAATACAGCCACCTGCCACAGTGTCCAGCTTTTTTTTTTTTAAGACTCACTCTGGCTCAGGCTGGTCTTAAACCTGTGAGCTCAGCATTCCACCTGCCTCGACCTCCCAAAGTGTTAGGATTACAGGCATGAGCCACCACACTTAGCCTTTTCATTTATTTTATTAATATTATTTTTTTAATGCCTGGCTATTTTAAGGAACAAGGTATGGCTCTGACTCAGGCTTGTCTCAAACCTGTGAGCTCCAGCAGTCCACCCTCCCTCGGCCTCCCAGAGTGCTAGGATTACAGGTGTGAGCCACCAGGCCCAGCTGTACTTCATCTTAAATAATTCTCATGACCCTTTTCAGTATTTTTCTTTTAAACACGTGAGAAGAGCAGATACGTCTGGCGGACTACCAGACAGAATAGCCAGAGAATTACTTGCTAGGTGTAATCTCCTGTGTTTGAATAATACCTTCACTTTGTTTAATTTCAAAGCCTATTCTGAGAAGAGCCAGAACCAGGTCAGGGTCATTACCTCCACCAGGGGGCCCATTTGTCTTCTCTAGAATGTATGAACCTTTTAGCTTTTTTCTACCTTCTGTATATATAGTAAGTAATGAAACAGTTCCCCAGTTTTGTGCTCCTGGATCTCAGTACCTTTCACTGGGTAACGCAAGATGGTTATTCAGTTGTACTATTTTTTGAGTGATGTTTGTGGTATAAATTCTTGAAGGTATGTTTGTTTTGAGGTGTTTTGATTTTTGTTTTACTGTTCAGAAGTAAAGTTAGCATAGTAGTTAATTAAGATCAGGTTCTATTGCTAGAATGCCTGGGTTCGTATTCCTACGTTGCCTCTTTAACCACAGGCCAATTACTTAAGCTTCCTGTGCCTTTCCTCATTTGCAAAAGTAGAATAATAGTACTTATTTCATACAAGATTGTTATCAATGTTGAATGAGGTAATACATGTTAAATGCCTAGAACAGAGCCTGGCACTCAATAAAACTAACGTATCTATCTGTAACAATAATATAAAATGACATTCTGTTAATAGTATAATAATAATGTATGTTCACCATTATTGTTCTTTTACATTTTAGTAATTGTAGGTACCAGGTTGTATTAATGAATTGAAATCCACTGTAGAAATTTCATTTTGATATGTCTTAGTAAGAACTAGATAACCAAGTAGTCAGTGTTTTTCATTTATGTTTATTTCAAAGAAATGAATTTGATAATGTTGCTTTCCCTGTTGTATTTTTAGGTATCTGATGTGTAGCCATGCAGAAGACCTACGTGCAAAAGCAGAATGGGAAGGCAAAGGGACAGCTTCCCGATCTAAACTGTTGGACAAACTTCAGAGTAAGGGTCTTACCTTTTTGATGTTTCTGTGTTTTCTGTTAAGATTACAAAGAAATGTTGTGGCTCAATTAGAAAGACATTATGTTCAGTGAGTGGTTATAGGAGAAAGGGGAGGGGATCCATTAAGCCCTTTAAACCAAAGATTTTCAGACTTTCTCCTAGAGTCTAAAAAGCTAACCTTAGGAGTCCGTGAAAGGGTGGTGTTTCTAGAGTAGTTCTCCTTAAATTTGTACTATTGAATGATGCTCCTCTCTTAAGATTTTACTTGGAGGGGAAAATGCTGTAGTTAGAGAAAATCCACTTAGAAAGTAAAGCCCTCTTAACCAAGTGTATATCACATTCTAGTAGCAACATGTCTGTGGCTGCTGACAAAAATTCATAAAGCTCAAGTGTTAAATCACATTATTCAGAACTTCTCTAAAGGACATAAATATTATTAGAGTAGGGCCAAGTACAGCAGAAGATGACTAAATGTCTTAAATAAAAGTTTACGGTTTATTATTTTTATTTCTCTTTTTTAAAATATCTTCTATTAAAGCTTATTTACCACCATCAGTGATGCTTCCCCCACGGCGTTTACAGACTCTTCTGCGGCAGGCAGTGGAACTACAAAGGGATCGGTGCCTATATCACAATACCAAACTTGATAATAATTTAGATTCTGTGTCTCTGCTTATAGATCATGTTTGTAGTAGGTAAGTGGAAGATTACTTACGTTCTGAAATACACCAATATTTTATAAACTCAGTTACAAACGTTATTAAAATGTTTAGAGTTTTATCCTGTAGCTATGTAACAGTTTACATTGGATTTAGCATTTGTTCACAAATAAAGCTAGAACTCCCAAAATAAGATACTAAGAGAAATTTTTATTTGTGTAGTGAGCCATACCTTGAAAATTGAAGCTGGGAAGGATTTTTCAGTCACTTTCTTTGTCTAACTATTAACCATGGCCCAAATTATTTTCTGCCCATAAAGACCAGGGAAATATTTTCTCTTTAGTGAAAATTATGGGTTTTAGTAGAAGATGGACTCTAAAAATGGTTAGAATAAAGGTATTTACTTTCTGAGTTGTTTTGTTATTGTATCTACCCAAGTACATAATTTAACTTCTAAAAATGCAAATTTCTCTTTTAATACTAGGGGTACTTTGAGTAAAAATGCCCCTGACATTTTAATAACAATCTTCAAAGTTAAACCATAGCTTTAATTTTTAAGATACCAAAAACAATCCTGTAGCAAATTTAAGCTTAAGAAAAAGAAAAAATATACCAAAAACAAGTTGTGAGGTCTTCAGACCCCAAGAAGGAAATGATTTGAGTCTGGTGAACCAGCTACAAAGGGGAACAGCTGTAGTGTAAGTGCTTGATTGTTTTTGCCAAAAATCATTGAAGAACCAATGACAGTAGCATAAATAAGGACAAAAGTATATAAGCATGAGGACTTTGGATAGAAGAGGAACTTCTGAGTAACCACAAAAATTGTGTATATATGCCTATCAGTACTTTGGTTTTAAATAATTTTAAGGTGTATGTAAACCACATTGGCATGTAGTTTTCACCTCACTTTCCCCAGTTGGCAAGAAAACAATAATAATTGCTTCAGCTGTTACCCTTAAATTACTTAAAAGTATTACTTAAAAGGATTATTACTTGGTGTATTTTTTAAGAGTTCTATAAGAAAGTGATTAGGGATGCTTTTCCTTTATCCCATTTTGTTCTTTAACACTGTTCTTTGACTTGTTTCTGAGGATTTTTAAGTCTTTTCATTTAAACTGAATGAGGTACAAGAAAATAATAGATTAAAAGGCTGTATAGTTTTATGTTTCCTGGTTTCATTGGGGACTTGAGAACGATGTTAGAATTAAGGCACTTGTTAACCCAAATCTTTTTTTTTTTTTTTGACTCATAAATTTATTGTTTTTAGAGTACAATGAAAATAAAGTTTTAAGAAGTGTCAGGAGGAAACTACTGAAATCTATGGGAACGTGACTTACATTTTTCTCTAAGTGCTTTAACTTTTTTGTCTTTTTGAGACAGAGTCTCACTATGTCACCCTCTGTAGAATGCTATGGCGTCACAGCTCACAGCAACCTTAAACTCTTGGGCTTAAGGATTCTCTTGCCTCAGCTTCCCAAGTAGCTGGGACTACAGGCTCCTGCCACAGTCTATTTTTTTGTTGCAGTTGTTGTTTAGCTGGCCCAGACTGGGTTTGAACCCACCAGCCTGGGTATATGTGGCCAGTGCCCTACCCACTGAGTTACGAGCACCACCGTAAGTGCTTTAACTTCTTTACCAGTACCTATGAAACAAACTACAAAAGGGGAACAGCTGTAGTGTAAGTGCTTGATTGTTTTTGCCAAAAATCATGGAAGAAGAGACTGAACATGTGACCCAAGTCTGTATTCCCATCTGTGGGAGGCCAAGGCAGGAGTCTGACTTGAGGCCAGAAGTTTGAAACCAGCCTGGGCAGGATAGTGGAATGAGCATGTCCCTGTAAAAATGCTAGCCAGGCAAGGTGTTGCATGTCTGTAGTCACAGCTGCATAGGAGGATCACTTGAGCTTAGGAGTTTGAGGTTGCAGTGAGCCAGGGTGATGTCATTGCACTCCAGCCTGGGCAACAGAGCAATACCCTGTCTCCAAAAAAAAAAAAAAGATAAAAGTAATGATAGTCAAATACCACTTTAGATGGCATTCAAATGATTGTCAATAAACTAGGGGGTGAAATTCTGTTTTGCAGCTTGGCACCTGTAGCTCAGCAGTTAAGTTGGGTAGCAATGACCAACTACAACAAAAAAATAGCCAGGTATTGTGGCAGGCACCTATAGTCCCAGCTACTTGGGAGGCTGAGGCAAGAGAATGGCTTAAGCCTAAGAGTTTGAGGTTGCTGTGAGCTGTGACACTACGGCACTCTACCAAGGATGACATGATGAGACTCTGTCTTTAAAAAAAAGAGAGAGAGAGAAATTCTGTTTTAGAATCAGTCTTTTTTTTTTTTTTTTAATTGCAGTTTTTGGCCGGGGCTGGGCTTGAACCTGCCACCTCCGGCATATGGGGCTGGCACCCTACTCCTTTGAGCCACAGGCGCCGCCCCTGGAATCAGTCTTAAAGATATTTTCCTACTCTAATTTTAGATACCTCTTTTTACTCATGATCAGTTTTGGCCATTTGAAATATTGTATCTTTTATCCCTATCTAGGTATAAAATGTTTCTCATTGACCAAGTCACTATTGACCAAATAGGAGGAGAAAAAAGCTATTTATGATATTGAAAATACTTAATTTTATCCAGCAGTGCCTTGGAGAGCACAATTTTAAAAAATGCCATTTGAAAAGAAAACTGTCCTTGGAGTTAGTCATTAGGTTGAAATCCTGAGGTTCACTTAACTCCTCGGTTTTAGGACATCTTATAAGTTATTTGCCTTTTTTTTGCAGGTTTTGGCTGGGGCTTGCTATGAACCCACCACCTCTGGCATATGGGGCGGGCGCCCTACTCCTTTGAGGCACAGGCGCTGCCTGTTATTTGCCCTCTTAGCTTCATGAAAATGGGATGATAGTACTGTCCTCAATAAGGGAAGTAGTGGCTCGGCGCCTGTAGCTCAACCGGCTAAGGTGCCGGCCACATACACCTAAGGTGGCGGGTTTGAATCCCCAGCCCGGGCCCGCCAAACAACAATGGTGGCTGCAACCAAAAAATAGCCAGGCGTTGTGGCGGGCGCCTGTGGTCCCAGCTACTTGGGAGGCTGAGGCAGGAGACTCGCTTGAGCCCAGGAGTTGGAGGTTGCTGTGAGCTGTAATACAACGGCACTCTACCCAGGGGGACAGCTTGAGGCTCTGTCTCAACAACAAAAAAAAAAAAAAATAAATAAGGGAAGTAGCAGTATTATATATGAAGCATGTAGCATAGTGCCTAGCCTGTAGTTAGTGGTTAATAAACAGCAGCTAGTATTGGTTATGTTTTAGTTCAAATGTAGAATGATAGTTTCAAATTTGTAAATTAAATTGCTTTACGCCTTTCTGATCCTATGTTGGACCTTATCTGATATTACAATTTTTTTTTTGTTTATAAACAAAAATACTTTAATTATTTTATGTAACCTAAAATAGACAATAAAATCATCAGGTGAGTTTATATTTGTTTTTCTCTTTTTAAAACTATAGGATAATAATTGCAAGTAATCCACCAAATTCTTTCACTCCCAAAACAAGTAAGAGCCGGGGAGCATGCAAGTGACAGAAAAATTAGATTGGAAGGGATTAATAATAAAGTTTAGGCTCAGCACCTGCAGCACAGTGGTTACAGCACTGGCCACATACACTAAGGCTGGCAGGTTCCAACTCAGCCGGTTCAGCTAAACAACATTGACAACTGCAAAAAAAAATAGCTGGGCGTTGTGACGGGTGCCTGTGCTACTTGGGAGGTTGAGACAACAGAATCGCTTAAGCCCAAGAGTTGGAGGTTGCTGTGAGTTGTGATGCCATAGCGCTCTACTGAGGGTGACATAGTGAGACTCTTGTCTCAAAAAAAAAAAATTAAGTTTAAAGCACTCTCCGAATAGCTAACTGGTAAGGTAGCTTGCCACGTGTGCCAGATAAATAATGTTAATTTCTTCTTAAAATATATAACACTTCTAGGTTGGTAGATTGACAAAATATATTTTAGAATTATTGATTGGGGCTCTGCTCCTGTAGCTCAGCGGCTAGGGCACCAGCCCCATACACCAGAGCTGGTGGGTTCGAACCCATCCTGGGCCTGCCAAACAACAATGACAGCTACAACCAAAAGGCAGAGCAATCACTTAAGCCCAGGAGTTTGAGGTTGCTGTGAGCTGTGATGCCACAGCATCTACCCAGGGTGACATAGGGAGACTCTTGTCTCCAAAAAAAAAAGAACAATTATTGATTGGTTAGAGTGAAAATAGGGAAGATTATTTTTAAAGATAAACTTAAAAATTTGTCCATTAGTGTTTAAATAATTTGAATGATAAAGAGACTTTATAATAAGGAACTATACCATCCACATAGTAGTAGCCACTAACTCATTCAGATTAAATCAGTCACGTTCTTACTAAGTCACATTTCAAGGGTTTAGTGTCCACCTGCAGTGATGGCTATGAAAGGCACAGGTATATAGCATTTCCACCTTTGCAGTAAATTCTATTAGTACTGATGTGTAGCTCTGAAAAGGATAGAATGTTTTCTAAAAATGAGTGCTTTTTTTTGTTTGTTTTTTTGAGACAGTCTCACCTTATCACCCTCAGTAGAGTGCTGTGGCATCACAGCTCACAACAACCTCCAACTCCTGGGCTTAAGCGATTCTCTTGCCTCAGCCTCCTGAGCACCTGAGACCAACAGGCGCCCGCCACAACGCCTAGCTTTTTTTTTGTTGCAGTTTGGCCAGGGCCAGGTTCGAACGTGCCACCCTCGGTATGTGGGGCCAGGGCCCTACCCACTGAGTCATTTTTAGGCGCTGCTCTAAAAATGAGTGCTGAATGGGAATGATTTTTTGTTTTTTTAAGACACAGAGTCTTGCGCTGTCACCTAGTCTGGAGTGTCGTTACAGGGTAGTTCAATGTAGCTTCAAAGTACTGGGCTCGGCTCGGCGCCTGTGGCTCAAGCGGCTAAGGCGCCAGCCACATACACCTAAGGTGGCGGGTTCGAATCCCCAGCCCGGGCCCGCCAAACAACAATGATGGCTGCAACCAAAAAATGGCCAGGTGTTGTGGCGGGCACCTGTAGTCCCAGCTAATTGGGAGGCTGAGGCAGGAGACTCACTTGAGCCCAGGAGTTGGAGGTTACTGTGAGCGTGATGCCATGGCACTCTACCCAGGGGGATAGCTTGAGGCTCCGTCTCAAAAAAAAAAAAGTACTGGGCTCAAGTGATCTTCCCCAGGAACTAGGGTACAGACACACCATCATACCTTGCTAATTTTTCTTTCTTTTTTTTTTTTTTGTAGTGATGGGGTTCTCACTAAGTTGCCCCTTGGAATAGTTGTTTTTACAGTAATGTTTTCCTCTAACTTAGTGAAGTTAATCATAAGCCAGATAATTTTTTGCCCTTGATAAATAATGCTTGCTGCTAATTATAAAGTACTAGCTAAGTGTCAGATTCAGTCTAAATGCTTTACCTTCATTATTCATCCTCTTAGATAAGAAATTCTTAAGGCAGGAACCATTATCTTAAAGTTATAGGTGGAAAAATAGAGATTTGGAGAGATAAGTATCCCTGAATAATACCTAGTAGATGGCTAAGCCAGTATTCTAATCTAGATCTGTCAGACTCTACTGCCCCCATTCTTAAGGCTTTATCCCTAACTGCTACAGCCCCTACCATATATTGCACTTCTCCTGTGCTTTCCTTAAAATGATATTATTAATCACATTTGAGAATCCATTATATTCCAGGAGTTTTAAATATATTTGTAAGAATTCTAAGAAATCTGTTAGGTGAATATTAATTTCCTCCTATAGATTTGAGAACTGAGGCTCAGAGAGAGTTAATTGACTTAAGCTTGCAACCAAGACAGAATCCAAAGTTACTAACTGGAACTGTTTATTATATATCATGTTGCTTTTTTGATGAAGTTTAACTGGATTTTATATAAATGAAAATGTTTCATATTATTCCTTCTAGAACAATCAGCTAACACTGTCTAACTTATACAGATGAACATGATGTCATGATTATTAATATGAATTGACTTATTCAGACTAAATAATCTTCAGAAGGGAAAAAAAGTAAATTATAAATTGAAGCAGATTTTAGATTACTGACCCCTCTATAAGGTTGCCTTGACTAAAAACAAATGTCTTATTTTCTAACATTATCTATATAAGCTTTATACTTACTCTTTTCAAACGCTTTCATATCTTATGTTTAAAATTTGTGATGGCACCTTCAAGTTTTACCAATTTTTTAACCTTTTTCATTAGAATTACTCTAATCTGTTTTAAAAGAATAACTTTTTTTGGACTTTGTTTTAGGAGGCAGTTCCCATGTTATACTCAGCAGATACTGACGGAGCATTGTAATGAAGTGTGGTTCTGTAAATTCTCTAATGATGGCACTAAACTAGCAACAGGATCAAAAGATACAACAGTTATCATATGGCAAGTTGATCCGGTATGTACTCCAGTTTAGATTGTAAAAGGAGGTAATTTTTTTTTTAAGTGTATATATGGGGGGAGGAGGTGTATATGTATATATGAATAGAATTTCTTTTCCAAGAGCATTTTTTGTCATGTTTGTTACATCTTATCTCTTCCTAGGTTGTATAGATAAAACATGTAAATATTACCAAAATTGTTGGATATTTGTTATGCACTAGTGACTATGCTAAATATGTATATGTATTAATTTAATCTTCTGAATAGCTCTATGAGATAAAATTTGAATGCTTTGACTCTCTTAGCTAGTTCAACTCAAATCCAAGAATATTTTGACTCCAGACCCACTGCTATTAACTCTACTGCCAATTTCTATGTTTTTTAATAGTTGATTTACATATAAGTTCCATGTCCATTCTGTTATAAGGTAGAAGACACTCATTACTGTTTTGCCTTCTGAAACCCTTCATTGTTTGTATGTGTGGATCTTGTGTTAGCCCTCCCCCTTGTCTTCCCAATAATATATATATGAAAGTATAACATTTTGGATTTAAAATTCTGAGTTCCCTCTAAAGTCAGAATTGTCTTTGTTTATAACCGATGACCTCGGATTTGTTGTAGGTAATAAGTATTCTCATTTCTTTCAGCCAATTGAATATTTATCAAGCAATCAAAGAAGTACATGACTCCAAATAGGTTAAGGAGCTATTTTGACTTAGGAGTCAGTCGCGTAAAATCATGAAGTAAATAAACTAATTCTCAACTTTAGAATTAAAATTTGATATTAGCCCAGGATAAAGTTTTGGGCTCCTATGTTGAAAAAAATAGAGAAAAGGAGCCATAGATGGAAATAACTTTTTAAAGAAGAGAATCAAATTTGAGAGCATACAGCAGTTCTTGCATACCTACAATATGCTATGAACCATGAAAGGTAAATAAGATACATTCTTTGCTATAAAGCAGGGGTTCCTT